TCCCCACATTACGATAAATGATTTCCCTTTACTCAAATTCAACTTCTTTAAGTAATGCAACAAATTATTGATGATCCAGAGCTCGTCCATGATAAAGTTTACTGTTCAATTTAACTCTTTTTATAGCAGTATTCATTTGCAAACATCTGACATAAAGTCCTACTTGATGCATAATGCACAAATATTTTAAAGTGCATAAATTATTCTAAAATATTTCTCCTTGGTTTTTTTAAAAATTTTAACACTTAAAGAGGATTAAATAGATTTTTACATTTTACTAAGATATCGGTTGATTACATTAACGGGTTTAAACAGTATATTGCTCATTTTGGGTTTTAGAGCCTACTCAAACTTTATGAGAGTTCTCATGAGAGAGTACTTATTGAAACTGGCTAAAAATTATCTATATGTGTGTTCTCAGAATAAATTCTGCATATTCAATTTCATCTTATCTTGCACTTTTCAACATTGTTTTAATTCATCACTCTTTGCTTCAACAGGTATTTTGGCTTAGAGTAATTTTACTGCGTATTCTCGGGTTAATTTCTCTCTCAGATATGGTACAACAACGAACATACAGCTGGTTATTTAAATTAAAATAATGCGCTCTTCAATTTTTTTACACTATTGTAGGTAATGAATTATGCACTTTAAATTCAAAAAGGAATTTAAGCAAGACCAAACGAAATTCCAATCTGTTTGACTGCTCGCACACAGGGAATTCACATTTAAAAAGACCAACTGTAATCAATATGCCAGCATGGTTCAAGAACACAATTAAGAATAAATATGCGCTCAGCCGCATTAGAGACTGCACTACCATTGCTAAAAGCATTGCTGACAACCTGGAGTGACTACTTTCCTTGGACACCGTGCCGTCAGCAGTCTGCTCTGTACATATATTAATTTACTTAATGCCTCGTATTTTTTTGTTTTTGCTGTTTTTAATTATATTTAATATTATGATTAATTCAGAACTCATTTAATGTATTCCACAATTTGTAATGCATTTGGTCATCTTTACATCTGTGCCTGATTTTTATAGCACATCCTTAATATAAGTGTATGCCTAACATGTATGATAATAGTAAAAAGTGTTCCGCTTAGTCTCAGCAGTCCCCACCATGAACCTTCTTTCCATGTTCTGGTCCTTATTTCAATGTTCTTCGCTTCGTGGCCAATTTCCGGAGGACACAGTACTACGCTCTTTAATTATGTTTATTCATGTATTTATTTTTGATTCCATCGACGGGATTCAACAGGCTGAAAATCACCCAACCCAGTGGGCCATCTGTTTCGTCGATGGTGAAACGAAAAGAAAGTGTATTTGTTCGCAGGTATAGGATATCAAATATGTAGATTCAAATATGAGTAGAATATTTTACGAGCAATGTCGACCATGACAAAATTAATTATTAAATACATATTTAACAGACCATACACGATTTCTGATTGCTAAAATGAGTTTAAATATATCTGTAAGTAATATTAAACTATCAGAGAATAGTAACAAACGGAGATAAACCAAGGAAAAGCTAATTTGGAAATGTTCTCCCTGTAATACTAAATTATGTTTTCTGCCCTCTTGAATGACAGTAAAATATTTAAAATGAATCATAATTTACTATAATATGTTTTCTGATAAAAAAAATAGTATTACCATTAATGACTTCGCATTTTTACCAAATGTTAAGCAAAGTAAAATAATGATTCATATAATACAGTAAACAGATATTTCAAGGAATTATTTTCTAAGAATTAAAAAAATATCTAAAAGCATTTTCTACTGTATGTTCACGAAATAATATCAGAAAATAGTAAGAATAGTTAGCGCAAAGCACATTATAAAAGCATCTCGTGCGTTTTTTGTCTTTTTCTTTTACATAAGAAAAGCGCAGCTTTGAAGAGTCAGATAAGGTCTGAAGCTATTAGTGTTTTATCGTATTGGTACTCAGAACTTAAAGCAGATAACCAGAATAACGCTTAGTGCCTGCAGTTATCAAACTGTAAAAACTGTTATTAATATTTAATATTCAACCTTGTTACTTTTGAGTCTTCCCCGCCGTAATGGTATATAATTCCGTTTGGTTCATGTTCGTGGTCAGAAGCCATCATAGCGGTGTACTCACTCATTCACTCACTCTCAGTTGTATGCGAGGTGAAATTGACTGGACTACCTTTTGTAAAGATAAAAATTACAATTGAACTAATAAAGAATACTCGTACAAAAAATGCTGACAAACCTAAAAAATTCAAAAAGAAGAAAAAAAAAAGCTTTTTGTATTTAAGTTCAAAGATTTGAATTTTGAGTTATTGATTAGCAAGAAAAATTTGTCATTAAAATAAATATTTTCCAATATTTCAGTTCTCATAGCAGTCTTTATATGCACTTCTATTTCAGTTTATAACTTGACTAAAGCTCTTCCTCTCGCGTGAGTGATTTCCCATAATTTATTTAGCAGCCAACTGATTTGATTGAAGATTAAAATATTATTGTCATAGTGAAGAAGGTACTTTAGGTACATGTTTTCAACATCGATTATAAGAACATCTGCGAAGATGGTAACTTTTGGATAACTGAATTTATTGCTCTGAAGCTTTTGATACGTTATGATTTTATTTTTGCAGTTTTTAAGATGCGAAAACTTGCTGTGATTAAATTATTGGAACTATGGCTGAGAAAAAGGCTTAGTATACGAAAACATTGTTTTTTCAAAAGCATTACATTTTCTCCTAATCTAAAGTTTTTCCAAGTTAATAAATTGAACTGCAGAGCCACAATATTCAAACTAACACCCACAATTAAAACTAACCCGTATCAATAAATTTAAGGTAGAATACAAGCATTTCCTTCTTTTTTCCCACTTACAAGCATCTTCACATTTTTTTTTACTCCCTTTACATTTCTAAACTGAATCCATATTTTCAAAGCTTAGTCCAGGCTCTCTATTTATTTCACATTTCTTAAATTCAGAAGTAAACTTTGGTTTATCTTACCTTTTTTTATAAATGCATAAATTGTATATTATTCAGCTGTAAGTATATATAGTGCGATATTTGCGCGGCAACAAAAATACACTTACAAGCTAAAATTGAGCTAATTTGAATGCCAACAAGACGACCTTTCTACAGTGCTTCGAAATTTCGATTAATGTTAAGTCATCTGTACCGGATTTAATATTCTAAAAGATCTATGGTTTAAAACGGTAGGCAGAAAATCAAAATAAAATCAGTTTCTCTGAGGTTAGTTTAAGCCTTAAAAGTCCGTTTCTTGCAAAAGTTCCGCTAGCAGTTTATCATTTTCAGTTATTAATGTTACAAGTTATTTAAATCTAAGGAAAAGTAAAGCGAAAAAAAATCATTCGTGTTAATTTATTTTTATCTTTCTCTCAAAATTCAACCTTGCTATAGATAATATTTTTTATCAACTATTTCTTTGATAAGTTATTACGTTTGATAGTATGCGAACGTGTTTATACCAGCATTAAATTTATCAGGTTTTTCTGCATATTTTTTTCGTCTTAAATCCGGTCTATTCATTTATGGTTATACTGTGAATTTGGATCATTTCATAATACCGATATCTACTATTTTAAGAATAGAAAACACAACTGAATAACTAAATAAATCATTTTGCTAAAATTTCGAGAAAGGTAGAGAAGCAATATAATAAGTATTTATGTGACATTTGAATTTCTTGTCGGACGTTTTAATTCTTTTTAAATGCTAAAAGTGTACATCGCTTTATATTCTGCAGTAGGTAAGTTTTCTGGAAGGTCATGGACATTCAGAATATAACTCTGAATTTAAAATTTTGAGACATGGCAGATATTTAGAGGATATCATGGTCAAAAATTCTGCAGCGCTGTAAGATGAAAAATTATTAAGAACTATAAGATAAACAATCATTATAAACATGATTTGAATGCTCATTTGAAATGATAGTAGTAGGAAACATTGCGGTGTATATCCATTTTACTTTTAATATTGGAATATTACATGACGATGAAAGTCAATTACAATACCACAATCCCTAAACTAATTATATTCTAAGAAAGTGGATGTTTTTTCCATTCCTAAGATATTTTGTTGGTATCTACTGATACTGAAACAATGATATCTAGTTAAAAGGTGTCCCAAATTTTTCAAGATAATTTTATTCAAATCACATACGTTGGAAACCTTGATAGTGATTATAGTATACATCGATACTTCTTTGATAATAGGGCAAAATGATGATTATTATTTCATATATATATATATATATATATTATTCATATTCATACATATTATCATGTATATGGTATATGAATTATATAATTATACGGCACCTAATTATATTATTAAGCATATGTGTGATAGTTTATAAGGGTAGATAGTAGTTAATGTTTATTTAGACTCGTGGAACAACATTTAAGAAAATATATCGGCATTTTCTTTAAAATTTCAAAATGTTGAAATCTAGATATTTCTAGGAATTTGAAATTTCTTTAAATTGTCCATTTTTTGTTTCCTGTATTGCGATCGTAGATCAGTGATTCCCACAATGATGTATGTATAGTTCTATATAGAACGTGATGTTACGTGCTCGAGAAAAAGTAAAAAATGATGATGAAGTGAGACGAGATAGAGGCAATAGTTTTGAAATTAGTATAACCGTAGTTGGAAAAAGACTATTTATGACAGACACGCCGTTTCCTCTCTCTTTGTTATTTTGCGAATAGTAGCAAGTCTCTTCTAATCATTGTATTGACATGCTGTTAATCTCACATTATTCTTTACTATTTGTAATTGCAGAATTTAAATTAAAAATAGTGTTACCTATATTTACTGAGAATTTATTAGTATCCGAGATTTAGTTTATGGAATGGGCTGTCAAGGAATATGCAAGGACAAGAAAATTTGAATCTCTGTTAGAGAATGTAACTTTGTACAATATGTAATAGTATTAGTTTTTTAAAGTGGAGTGAATGAAATTCTTTAAATTTTTTTCAGGGAGGAAAAGATAAACATCACCGAAATACTAAACAGCTTTTTCAGCAAAGGATACGATAAACGTGTACGGCCAAATTACGGAGGTATGTGAATTTAGTTCAATTTCTTTCATTTAAGAGCAACAATAAAATTTTTGTAGAATATTTGTTTTAAATTATGTTTTGTAAAAAAATGAAAGGATATAGATATATAAAAGAATAGATAGTTATCAAAAGGAAAATAGATGAAGTAAATAATAAATGAAGAAAGGGAAAATAGTGTATTTTGTGTATCAAATACACTCCCATATGAAAGCCTTACATTAAGATAGGTAAACGTATGTAATAATAATAATAATAATGCAACATAATACGATTAGTAGATGCTTCTGTTAATCTATTGTATTTGGAAGAACTAAAATTCAAATATTTTAATTTAAAAAAATTCTAAAGTATTTTTATGAAATAATGCTTCAGAAAGTAAAAATAAATTTTTATAAATAAATTTAGAATAATGAACTAATTCAAAATTTTCATTATTTGAATTCGAAAAGATGTTTATTTTTTATAATGCCACTATATGTATGAAGTAATGATAATAATGCACATATAACCTAGAAATATTTTTTATGAAATGAAAATATTATTAAGAAAATATAAAGTTCCTAATGTATTAAAATATGACACATTACAAATAACGTAAGTGTTAAACGTAGTCAGCATTTTGTAAGCAAAAATGCAATTTTTTACCAAACAAATTTGAGTCCAATAATTAATAATTTTATATGTATTAACTTTAAAACTACTTTCATTTTACTAGGGCAAAATTATATACCTCTGATGCTCAGACATGAAATGTCTTTCAGTTTTAGCAGGAAAGTAGTAGTAGCACTTTACATCATTATCGTTTCGTGACAATTATTTATTCCTAGAGATAGAAACTGTATTAAAATCTTAAAATGCTTTTAAGAAAGATAGCATTTATTTTATCGGTGTAAATAATGTTTTCATGAGCTATAGCTGGATTAAATGGTACTTTAAATGTACACTATATTATTTCATGCCCGTTATACTGAACAAGAGCGAATTAAAAAGTATAAGAAAGATCAAAATATAAAAAAAAAATTAAGCATAAAGTTTGATCAATTTTTAGAGCATTAAACTTACAGCTGAGGAACAAAAAGGATTCATTGTTAAAAAAAGAATTTTTTTTTTTTTTTTTTTTTTTTTTTTTTTTTTTTTTTTTGTGATTGAAAAATGAATGTTTACTGGGCTTACAATTTATTTTTAATGTACTTACTATTCAAAACTGGTAGCATCTTATACATATTTAATACATTTTTGGTATTTGTCTTCCTTTTCATCATTTAGTGTATTTTTTCAAGGTAAGTTTTTAACAGAGACTTTATTGCAAATTACAAAACAATTCCTTTTTGCTTGAGTGTATCCTCAGTTTTAGAATATTTCAAGGATATGTTCTTTTTTCTAAGTGATGTAAACTATAATTAAAGCTTCTTAATACTGTCAAAAATGGCATAAAACTACGAATTCTTTAAATCATACGTATATGTAAAATCATTGACTCGGTTTCAGATGGATTTGCTTTTTAAATAGAAGCTGAAAGTGACAGCAAATACATGAAATAAAAGCATATCTCGTCAAATAGTGCTTTCAAGTATTTTATGTGACCTTAATTCCAATACAAGAACAGCATCTAGATGATTTTAAAAAAACATGCCTTTTTCCAACATATGCTATATTAGTATGTCCTTAGCAGTAACAACATGAGGTTTTGATCAAGTAGACTTGCAGGTAGACGAATACAGCATCTTTAACGTCGCAGCATAAGATTCAATAACGTAGGAGGCCCTATCATGGAAACCTACTGCGACCTACTAAACACACGAAGTGGTAGAAGGTACTTTCTATTAAAAATCATGATATTATGTAATCATGATATATTAGTTCAATGAGGTTTCTCAAGTCAGAAGACTTTCTTCCTTACTTTATATGTATCAAATACACTGTTAATGCTAAAAATTATTCTTATATTAAATCATATCGAAGATTTTAAATAAACCTGTCATACACAAAATGTGGGCAAACATTAATCCGCTATTGCCCAAAATTAGAGATCATAATTAGTTATTAAGAAGTAACACAGTATATTCATGCTCAAAATCTAGCAGTGCGAGTTATAAACAACAAGAGTCTGATAACAGGAATTGTAAAGAATAAATATCTGTCAATAGGAATTATAAATAAAGGACTTGGTAACATCTAATATTTTGAATGAAATGAGCAAAAAAGTAGGCATGAGTGCATCTTAAAGGATGTTTCGGAATTGAATTCTGAAAATCATGTTTAGAAGCTGGTACATTCGTTCAAGAATTGCAAATATATAATTCAATTCAACATATCAACAACTTATTCCTTTTGGCGTCAAACGTTACGTCATCTCAACATAAAGAAAATAAAGTAGCGAATTCTCGGACACAGAAAGAAAAGGAAATATTTCATGTTTCCGAAACAGGAAAACACTTTTATTGGCGACGAGTAGACCTAGTAACCGAAAAAAAATCGGCGTAATAGCTTTCTAGACATCTTATTGAAGAATTGATGTTATTTAACTTTTCTATTGAAAGTCCAAATACATATTATACTTAGAGTCAAGACATCATCAAATTCGTCGTGAGCGTACTTTTTATAAGTTATAAAGGATTAAATCTGCCTCGCTAAAATAGAGAATTAAAGTTTACCGTCCTCATAGAAAAACATCACGATTATAAGTTTTGGCTTATTTGATTACGGTAAAGCACTCGAATGCTATCTGCTTAAGAGGAAGGATGCTTTCGTGGAGGATTTTGTAAGGGGGACTAGCTCGTATACGCGTTACACATAGGCAAAAAAAACACGAATGCGCCTATGCAGCCAGCCCATTAGTCTGGATTCGAGCTCAGGTCAGAACTACCATCGTTCAACGATTTTAGCGCTCGGCCGCTTGTTGACATATATAAGAGTGAACAATGTTTAGAAACTTAATGATAATTATTTCTAAAACTGTGAATCACTTTATCTTCTGAAACAAGCGATTTCAAACTTCTGAAACAAGTGTAAACTATATTAAGAAATTAAATTTCCTTTTTGATCAGCATGTGAACATATATGCTATATGAGGTTTATTTCAATGCACTTCCATAAACAGAAATTAGATTAAGTTTGAAATATAATTTAGAAAGTGGTACCATTGTATACAGAATTTAGGAGAATTACAGAAGGTTAGAAGATTTTCGTAGAACGTGAACTTACATTTGGAGAAGAAAATAGTTTCGGGCGCTTATTACTGTAAATTTGGTGTACATAAATCTTTTGAAATCTCTCAGTGCTCCCGTTAGTATGTATAGTATAAATATGTATATGTGTTAATATACAAACTTACGCATCCATTTATATCTATTTATTTCCACTTTTGACGTATATATACATACATGCATAGGTTAGTATCGAAATATAGATAAATAAATAACTATAGCTATGAGTGCACCAGATAGATATTAAAGATTATTTATGGATGTACATTGTTAAGTTTGTAGAATACATATTTTCATTGTATATTATTAACTCTTGCCCATGCGTATAAAAGCCATCTCTTCACAATTTATGAGTTAGAAAAATTCTAAAACGGACTACTCGTATCAATTTTACTAACGTACTAATTTGGCAATAGCCCGCTTTTAATTCAAATACGAAAACATCTTCAGATGCAATAAATTGAACAAATCATATACTCGGGCATTTCGAGTTTTCATTTCTTTTAACAAACATATTTACGCTTTCTTTGTAGTCAGATTTCCAGTTTTCACAGAAACTGGGGAAATAAATGCTGTTACTTTTTCTTTCAAGTATTAGAAATTGTGATTACTTTTCTTTTCATCTTTTAATAAAATATTGCAATAAATCCTTGAGATAAAAATAGGAGACTTACAAAAATATACTTTATAAATTTTCAGATACTGTGTGGCTTTTCAGTGTAAAATTTGTTCATGCTGGAAACGTATTCAATAATTGCATCATGTATGAATTTTTCTTATAACTAGAACGTACTAAAGGCACTCTACGGTTTTTTAACTAAGTAGTATATAAGTCACATAAAATACTTGAAAGCACTATTTGACGAGATATGCTTTTATTTCATGTATTTGCTGTCACTTTCAGCTTCTATTTAAAAAGCAAATCCATCTGAAACCGAGTCAATGATTTTACATATACGTATGATTTAAAGAATTCGTAGTTTTATGCCATTTTTGACAGTATTAAGAAGCTTTAATTATAGTTTACATCACTTAGAAAAAAGAACATATCCTTGAAATATTCTAAAACTGAGGATACACTCAAGCAAAAAGGAATTGTTTTGTAATTTGCAATAAAGTCTCTGTTAAAAACTTACCTTGAAAAAATACACTAAATGATGAAAAGGAAGACAAATACCAAAAATGTATTAAATTTGTATAAGATGCTACCAGTTTTGAATAGTAAGTACATTAAAAATAAATTGTAAGCCCACTAAACATTCATTTTTCAATCACAAAAAAAAAAAAAAAAAAAAAAAAAAAAAAATTCTTTTTTTAACAATGAATCTTTTTTGTTCCTCAGCTGTAAGTTTAATGCTCTAAAAATTGATCAAACTTTATGCTTAATTTTTTTTTTATATTTTGATCTTTCTTATACTTTTTAATTCGCTCTTGTTCAGTATAACGAGCATGAAATAATATCTCAGCTATACATGTATTTACAAAACATTCTATATTCATCTGCTTAGTAAGAATACTTTTGTAAAGTTCTTTCTAAAGTAACGCTATCGCGCTAGTAGAAACTGCTGCCAGAGTTTCTAACGTTTAATTCTATTCTTGATTCATATACGGAATATGTCTCCACAAGTATTTTAGTCGAAACAATAAATATTTCACTAACTTTACATTTCTGGCATAAAATATTTCAAACATAAGTGGTAAATTGGAAAAGACGAATATTCATTATTTATTTGAACACTAACGTAAAATGTAATTACTAGAGCTCGTGAGGGAAAAAATATGTCTTTAGTTTCA